CGGGCCAACTCACTCGCGAACCACAATCTCTATTTTTGGGTGAAAAGTGGCCGTTAAGAGTCAGAAAATTCCGACATTGCTTGTCTCAGCTCGCGTTATTACGTTGGTTAGCCTGACAATAGCCCTCTTTGGTTGCGGTTAATGTGCTCCCTCCATGCATACCAGAATTGCGTTTTCGGTAGAATCGCGTTTGTGTTTGCCCAGCGTGTGTCTCTGCGTTGGGGAGAAGTGTCCGAGTACACAAACCCTCCTACTCGTGGCTATCTTTTTGGCGGCGTGATTGAGGACAATCGGAGCGTGTACTCAAGCAGAGGAGCAATTACCGAGCTTTTGACAGTTCGCAGACATACACTCATCTGCCTACCTCATCTGGTCAGACAGACCTGCCTGAAGCCGATTGGCATGTACCCTTCCACAGACTCGCCTCATCACACATTCTGTCATGCGCTGGTGTCCAAGCTGTCCGAGCTCGTCAGGTGGATGCAGGGGTGGACAGAAGCATTGGTGACAAGATGACTTTTAATGATACCAATTTTGCATTTTTAACGTTATCGTTTGTAATTGGCCAACTTTGCAATTCCATCGAGAAAATTGGCTCTTCGAGTACAAGTTCCTACGAGTTCGTGGATCAAGAAGAATCTTTGAACAAATCGGCCTATTCTAGGCTCATGTAAGGACGCATTGTGGCATTTTCCTTCAAAAAAGTGGTATTCGTAATCAAATGTAATTTGTTGACTAAACTTCTCTTGCTCCCTTTGCTAAATGCGTTGAGACTCTTTCAGTCGGAAGAATGAGACAACAAACCACTGAATAGGATTGACAAGAACTCTTAATCATAATTTACTATTATTCTCGACACCTTACATCTACACCCAGCGATTCTATTAGGAAATATGATAAGCAACGAGTTAATCATGCAATTGACGAACTTAATAATGAATAGTACGTATTTTATTTTTAATGGTAAATTACACAAACAAACAGGATGGTTAATAATGGGATCGTGTTTGTCTCAGGGTTCAGCCAAGTACAGCATGGCTCGATTAGAAGTCCTGCTTTTTCAGGAGTTACTCCTAGTTTCGAAACTATTGTTCAGATGTTTGGATGATTACTTTTCCATCTGACAGCATGGCAGAGAGTGTTGGGATGCATTTCTTGGATTAATAAATAGAGTAAATAGGTAGAAAAAAATTACCATTTTCAGATGTCCTGGTTAGTAAAGAAGGGAGGAAACTGGGTAAGGATGTATATGGGAATCGCACAAGTGATGCTCGAATCATACTTGTTTTGTTAAAGTAAGAGTAATGAAATCTATGACAATAAGAAGTTTACGTCTAGCGGACGTAAATCATCAATAACAGGAATCAGAAAGGCTAAGCAAATCTTGGTATGAAGACCAAGATGGTGCGGCATTTGTT